TAGCAGCCAGATTGAGTAATGAGTAATCGCCAGCAGAACCCCGACACTAACAGCAATGGAAACCAAATCCATCCAGCGAACCAGCAATTAGTGGCCAGTGCGAGTCCAACGAGGAGCGATAACCAGGAGCAGAACACCCATCCAGGCCAGCAATTCCACTCCCTTGGTGGTCAACTGACTACCACAACTACAATTCACTATTTATTATAAAGGTTTCAGACGAACGCCACCAGCTTACAACGTATAATTTAGTGCTCTTTGTGAGTGATGTTACAAAATGTTTATATTCTATTCTTTTGAAATAAGAGTTATACTAACAAAATATATAGTCCAAATCGCGGTTTTATTGAAATTCTATTTAAACAAAGTTGGTTTTGAGGTGTGTCGGAAATTGTAATTTGAATTGCGTGGCATTGGTAAAATTCCTATGGTATCTGAATAGAAGCGAAAAATTCGACATGCTTCGAAGGTTACTTTGAAGTGGGGTTATACTATCTTATCAACTGGCATATGAAAGAGCTTTAATATAAGTAGGTTCTCTGTACCATGAAATATAATTGAGAATATAGCTAAGGGTTATGGCAGCCAGGCAGCAGATGCAATCCTTTTTTTTTTTTTTTGGGCGGCACAAAGCTCAAATTTCAGCAACTGGCGACTGGGGCCTTGGACTGCGGAGTAAGATTAGCTGACAGCCATACCATAATTAGTTGGCAATTGTCTTGGCCTTGATGTCCACCACCCAACGATTTGCGGAGCAGCCCAACATTCTGTCAGCCATTTGGCTAAAATTAAACGACCCAAATGCCGACTTGATTTGGGAAATGGCTGGGAAATCCATTTACATTTTGGCAGCTCGACACGCTCGATTAACAATTCCAGCCAAGCACAAATCCTGATCAGGAATGCACTGCCAAGGCTGCTCCTTTCGGGGCATTTGGAAAACTTTTGAATGCATTTCAATTATTTTGCATGTTCATCAGATATACAAACTGGGATTCCAGCCCCGGAACGAGCCAGGGGAGGGGCAGAGGAGGGAGAGGGGGGTTGGTGGCATCTCAAAAATGCCAGTCACCAGGCAAAAATGCATTAAACAACTCAAGTTACGAAACACGACGATGACGATGACGATGACTACGCCGAGGACGTTGACAATGCCAGCACCGAACTCAGTTGAACTGGCAAAGGATATGCAATGGGTGACGGATGGATGCGAAGGATGCGAGGGATGAGGCGTGGAGGAGTGGCCCGGCTTGAGCCACCTCACCGCATCGCACACTATTGATTTAATCATTCAAACCAGAAGAAAAAGCCTCACTGGCCGGGATTGAATACCCTGAAATTATTAAATATTTTATTAGCTTCAAGAGCGGCACATATATTCCTTATAGATTTAATAGGCTATCTATACTTCCTCAAGTATCAGCGAATGCATTTATATTTATTAGCTTTAGGAGTGGCACATATATTCCTTATAGATTTAATACAATATATACAACAGGCTATTTATCTAATAACTGGATATCTCCAAGTATCAGCGAATGCATTTGTATTACAAATAAAGGAAGAAAAATAGAAATAAAGTTCCACTTACAACCGAATTCACTTTTACTTTTTGCCTTCTAGGACTGAATCTGAAATTTAATAAACGGCTTTAATACCTGCCAAAGTAAAAAGAACAAGGGAGTAGCTGTTGCCCCACTGAGGGTATCAAAAATGAGGAGTCTGTCGAGGAGGAGCTCATACGGAGGAGGATGGAGGATGGCTAATCTGAGCCCAGTGGCAGTACGGGTTCCACGACCCAACCTACTGAACACAGCGCCCAGCAATGCCGAATGTGGAACATGCTGCGTCAAGGCATTTTTGTGGCCAAAGTCGCAAAGTCTGAGCCCAGCAGTGAACGTAGCAAAAACGGGTGACTGAGCGTAACTCAATGGGGCGAGGGGATGGGCTGGGGTGGATTGGCAGGAGCGGTGGGACCACCAGGACCTCCAGTTCCACCAGGACAACTTTGTGGGCGGGGCAACGACAATAAGCAGCAAAGGACAAGCAACAACGGCGACAACAACAATATCTAACAAGAGCAATAACAACTGCCATCGACAAAAATGGGGGATGTGGGGTAAATGCGACAGGGGGGGGGGGTGTAGTGTTGTATACAGCAGGGCGCACAGAAATTCTTTTGAAAACTCTTTCACGGCAATTTCGCCAATCTTTTCTCTTTTCTGGTCTGCTTTTTTTTCGCTGCTCGATGGCAGGAGCATCCAATTAAGGGGCGTCCTAAGGATTCCGAAACTAGTTTCCAATGTGAGCCTGCGTAGAACAGAATATCTAAAAGAGCGTGCACGAATTTTGTTTAAAAGATAAAAATGTAATCTGAGTACCGTTGTTCATCAGTACCTGTGAACTTTTTCTTTCTAATGAACTTTAAAAAATCACAAGTAGGTAATACTCGTGATATAGATTGTTCGCAATTTGCCCGCAAATTGGAAGCTGAAGCACATTTAATTATCCAGAGCAGCAAGAAGCAGTTTTCATTTCAATGTCCATTTTTCCTTCCTTCCTTTCTTCTTTTCTAAATAACAGCGTTCATAGCTCATAAAATTCGAATTTTTAAGTAGTTTTAACTGCAAATCAACAATTAGCTCAAATATTTATGTATTTTTTTTTTTGGTTCAACCAATTTAATTTAGTTTTGAAACAAATTCATTTTCTGAAAGTATTCAGTTTTAAGAGACAAGCATAATATTGTGTTAGGTGCATTTTCTAATGCAGCCAACAACTTTAGTGGCCACCCTCGTTTCGCGAGCTTTGCCACTGACCTACTTACCGAAAAATGGCTGACTCGGCGCAGGCGGAAAGGAAAGCAAAGGAAAGCAAGGGAAAGCAAAAAAATGGGAGGCGGAAAGGCGGGTCTGTCTGCTTGCTGAGCCAGAGGAACACTCGGCGCTGTTTGATCTGCCTGGACGGGAACGAGAGCGGGAAAGGGAGCGGGAATGGGAGCGGGAATGGGAGCGGGAACGTGGACCTGGACTCGACGGAGGCATTTCGTGGGACTGAGAGTGCCACACTGGCAGCCTCTGCTGATGCCAAAAGCTGAAAAGTCGCGTCGCAAGGCGACAATAATTGGCGCAAGGTGGCCCAGTCAAGGAAAAACACGCAGCCACACAGACAGACACTTGAGGCGGCTCACCAGGCGAAAGGGGGTGGTGGAAAGGGGAGGTGGAAAGGGGGTGGTGGAAAGGGGAGGTAGAAAGGGGGGCCTGCCTGACAGAGTTGACAATCAACAAAAGGACACTCACACACACACACACGACAAAAATGACAGGAAGCAGCGACGCCAGCGCCAACTGCAACCGAAATCAAAATCAAAATGAGAATCGCAAAATGCAAAATGTAAAACGCCGCAAATTGCTTGTAGGCAACGCAGACAACAACAAAAACTATAACAACAACAACGACCGCGCTGGCGACGGATGGAAAAATGGAAATAGAAGATGAGCGGAAAAACTGAGCGGTACAACGATAAAAAGCGGGTACTGCAGCCACAGAAAATAGTTTCTGCCACTGGCTAAATCGGAATCGTCTTAGCGAATTGGAAACATAATGAAAATACAGTCTTGGTGACATAACAACACATAGTAATAAATAAAGAAATATAATTTATTTTGTACTTTATAAAATTTGGTTTAATATACAACTAACAAATCAAAATTATAATGTCATTGTATAAACAAAATGGATACCAAAGTAATAACATTTTAAAATGTGAAATCTCTAAAAATGTTTAATATTTCTATAGACAAATATTAAACCTTTTCACGACATTATTTCTAAAACAGGTTAAGATAATAAAAAAACTAATTATTTTTTAAAAAGTCCTTATAGCCGAAAAGGATCTAACATATCTTCCAACCAAGTGAGCTCCATCTCTAACTGAACTTTCGCTATTCTTTTGTTGGCCCAAAGGATGGGTGTGGGAAAGGGGAAGGGGAAACTGCAGCGAGGTGGCGAACACACACATACACACATACACACACACACACACACACTCAAACACACAGTGACAGTGGAGAAAACAGGGTGAAGGACAATGCGTGCATAACGCTTATTGAAATAGTTCTCAAGTGAGTTCGACGCTGGCGTCGACGTCGTCCTCATCGTCAACGTGGGCTTGCCAAATGGGCCGAATAGGGTGGCCAAAAGGGTGGCTAAAAAAGGGCGGCTCCAAAAAGGAGGGAGGGGGGGGTGAGGGGTGGAAGTGGCCTACTAGTTGTGTGCTAACTAGGAGGCTGCCATTTAATGCACAAGCACAACCGGTTGAGACAGCTGATATTTGCAGGCTGTGCCTGCCTGCAACTGTCTGGGTATTACACGACTGTCTCCCGCACTTTCTCCCACTTTCTCCCAGGACCCCGCTATCCCGCTATCTGGCTGCCATTGCCGTGATTGTCAATACGCAATCCGTAATCCGGCGAAGGCTTAGGAAACCGAAAGAAGATAAGCACCAGCTTACCAGCAGGACTACTGCTGCTGCTGCTGCCTTCAGCTGCCTTCAGCTGCCTTCAGCTGCCAACTTTTCTGGGTGGTTGTGGGTGGGTATTGGTCCTCTGCAGCTGTGGCCATCGCCAGCTCGGTGTTTTATATTTATATTTGTTTTGATTTCATGCGCTGCTGGCTGAGCCCCAACCTGGGCTAGATTGTTTGCCTACCAAACACCCCAACAATCCAACCACCCCTCACCCCGCCTCTGGGTTACATCATAAGGATGAGAGCAAAAATATAGCAGCTGCAGCGGCCATCCTGTTGATCAACTTCCTTGCATTCAAGTGGGGAAATTTTGGCCCAAAAATATTCCCACTTTTCAGTGGCACAATGTTGAAAGCGAGGGAATTTCGCCGCTTTCAACCGAGCGTTCAACGGAGCGTTCAACGGCGTTCAACGTCAATAAAGGGAGGCGTGCCAGCCAGTTGCCACTCAGTTGCTCGTGGGCACTCGAACGGCATGGACGTGTCGCAGCAGCAGCAGCAGCAGAAGCAGCTGGAGCATCATCAGCAGTAGATTGGCCAACTCTCCACCAAGTGGCAGCAACAGATCACACACTGCCAACTGTTCTGCTTTTTTTTCAAGTTTTTGTTTGGTTTTTTTTTTTTGGTTACTGAAGGGCTTACCCTAAAAAGAAAGCAAAAAACAAACTGTGTTCATAAAGTTAGAGTGGAACTGCGATAATTGCAGAAAAGCAAACTTGTTGGTGGTAAAAATAAAAAATAAATATACAAAAAAAAAGCGAGTGTCGACCAGTGCGTGAGTTCAGTCCGAAAAGGGATTCAAAAGAAGGGATTGAGAGGCGGAAAAAGTTTTTGGCGCACAAAAGTAGGCAACGGAAACGCAGCGTGAGTTTGGGTGCTTGGCTAAGCCGTAAGCCGTAAGCCGAAAGCCGTAAGCCATAAGCCCTTTGCCAAACTGCAACCGCTGAACGCATTTAAGTGCAGATTTATGTTTTGCCTCTCCGACAGCTCCTCCACCGCCGAGTAGTCCTGCCACCCACCGAGCCACCGAGCCACTGAGCCACTCAGCCACATCGAGACACTGCCAATTAAAGTTGCCCCAGCAGCTGCAACACCCAGTCACTGCCAAAAAAAGCGACGACGAAGAGGAAAGACTTTAGCCAGCAGCTGAATTATATTCACAGTTGCGAATAAGTTTTCGAAGAACCACTGCCGAAGAAACAACAATAGAGCAGCACCACCACCACCACCACCACCACCACCGCCACCATCACCACCGCCGTCAGCAGCAACAACTACAACTACAACTACAGCTACAACAACGTGTTGCTGCCACAAAACGCAGCAGCCGCAACGAGAGCGTCATCTCTGCCCTTCGCACGCCTCTGCGGGTAAGTTGACATTTCATTTTCATTTTGAGTGCATTTTCCCGCCCAACGAAACCCCACCATCCCCCACCCCCAGCACCATTTTTAGTGTTAGTATTACAGTGGGTCTTGGTGTGTGTGTGTGTGTTTATGTGAGTGTGTGTGTGTGTATGTGTGTGTGTGTGTGGGTGTCGGGGTCAGCGCGTTATTACAAGTTATGCCCTGTGCCAGCAGCTCGCAACTCGCAGATTCAGATTCAGATTCAACAACAATGGCCCTGGGCACCCCTTAGTCCTTAGCCCTTGGTCCTTGGTCCTTAGTCCATAGTCCATAGTCCATGGTCCTTAGTTCTTAGTCCTTAGCCAGCACCCAGGGCAGTCGAGAGCGCAATCCAAACTGGCGGCAAAAGTCACGTTTGTCGAGTGGCAGCACAACACATTATTTAGAGCCAAGTCCCGCCAGTTGAAACTGACAAGCTCCGGCTCGCAGCCAGAACGAGCTTAAAATGTGTGGGTCAAATGTTAAACGGCCATCAGCGGCATCAGCTGGCAGCAGTTAACGACGGTCCCCCGGGATCCACCGCCCAGCGAAATATGGACTGAGCGAAAAAGGCTGTCTACTGGCATCGAAATAGAGCGCTGCCACACTATGAACCACAGTGTGCCACACTGACTCAATTGCAATCTGAATAAGTGAAGAGAATAATTACCTTATTAAAATTAAAATTAAGAAAATCTTCCCACAAGCATTTATTAGGTGTTCAGCTTAAGTGGTTCATAAAGTAATATTTAAAAAAAAAATTAAGCTTACTTTGCTGACACTAAAGACCTATAATAAAGTTTAGAAAATATTTATTGATTGTGTTTTATAATTTAATTATTGACAGGCTCACTTCACCAATTAACTCTAGATATTTTTCAGCCAAAGCTTTCACATTAATAAAGACATCCCTGCAAAATCTTAATAAAGCGAATAGACACCAGTGTTGCCATTGTTTCCTTTTTATACCCTTGCAGAGGGTATTATAATTTTGGTCAAAAGTGTGCAACGCAGTGAAGGAGACATCTCCGACCCTATAAAGTATATATATTCTTGATCAGGATCACCTCCTGAGTTGATATAGCCATGTCCGTCTGTCCGTCTGTCCGTCTGTCCGTCTGTCTGTCCGTCTGTCTGTTTCTACGCGAACTAGTCTCTCAGTTTTAAAGATATCGAATTGAAACTTTGCACACACCCTTCTTTCCTTTGCACGCAGTATATAAGTCGGAACGGCCGGGATCGGCCGACTATATCCTATAGCTGCCATATAACTGAACGATCGGAAATGCCATAACTTTGGTGTTTGTAAAGTTAGGAAGTTGGGATTTTCTATGGGTTTTGTATTTGGCTAATCAATCCGACATGCCGAATTTCATAAGGATCGGCCGACTATATCCTATAGCTTCCATATAACTGATTGATCGGAAATGCCATAACTTTGGTGTTTGTAAAGTTAGAATGTTGGGATTTTCTATGGGTTTTATATTTGGCTAATCAATCCGACATGCCGAATTTCATAAGGATCGGCCGACTATATCCTATAGCTGCCATATAACTGATTGATCGGAAATGCCATAACTTTGGTGTTTGTAAAGTTAGGAAGTCGGCATTTTCTATGGGTGTTATATTTGGCCAGCCAACCTACCAAATTTCATAAGGATCGGCCGATTATATCCTATAGCTGCCATATAACTGAACGATTGGAAATGTCATAACTTTGGTGTTTTTAAAGTTAGGAAGTTGGGATTTTTTATGAGTATTAAGAATGCATCATATGAATAATTTTGGAGAATATAATTTACAGAGTATTCTGCAAGGGTATATCAACTTCGGCTCCGCCCGAAGTTAGCTTTCCTTTCTTGTTCAGGAAAGATTTGTCCATTTTTAATGGTCTTTCCTGGAAATCTGTTCTTTTTTTTAAGAATCGATATGTGCATTTGAAAGAATCTGATTTTCAGCAATTTTGAAAGTGAAGACATTTTTGTTTCCTGTAGATTTCGTGAAAATGTAGGAGTATGGTAAAACTGAATGACTTTTATTTATAAACTTACCGCAGAAGTTTATTTGTGCCGTAACCAAATTGATTGATTGATATGATATGAATGTTTGAAACTTACTATGGCGTTTCACAAAATAATTCTTTAATGATTAAGCCTGGCAATGCATTTCTTTAAAGACTCAATTCTTAAGCATCCTCTGTTTAAAAGTGTTTTTTTCTTTTTTGTTAAGAAAATTATGAAGTAAAATAAGCTATTAAGCTAATTTAGTACGGAAATCATGCAAATTTCTCTGTTTTTTGTTGACAGTTTCTTCTGGTTTTTTTGATTTATCTGTCCCTTTTTGATGTCTTCTGCCAACACTGTTTCGCACTAGTTTCTCCCCGTGGATACGCATCCTGGCGACCTGCCTGGGTGTTCGCACGAGGGAAGGACACTAAGGACACACACTTTGCATGTTTATCTCGCCGTGGGTGGCAATCCCGGCGGAATGGCCATCGCCGTTAAGCAATTTCGATAACTGCGAAGCGACAACGTCAACCGGTCATGCCAATTTATGGCCAAAGTTGCTACTGTTGCTGCTGTGCATACAAATGTAAATTTAAATTGAAAATTAATCGGGCAGCGCAGGCGCCGCTCTTAGCGATAAGTTTTCGATTAAAAACTCGTTTAGCGAGCCACCAGAAAATCGGGCAAAAAAAGAGCAGTGAGCGTGCGAAAATTCGGCTGCCTTGGGGTTTTAATTAAAAGCTTAATTGGAGGGCGGAAAAAATTAAATAAAATGATTGCGTAATTAAAAGCAAACAAAGCCGAAAAATGCCAGTCGCCAAAAGGTGGTCAACAAACAGAAGCAGCAACAGCAGCAGCAGGAGCGGCCATGTCCTGCCAGGGAAATTAAAAACTTAATGGTCAGAAAGGACACACATGGCAGACTGTCAACGCTCAACGACTTTGGCCAACAGATGGAACAAGTTTATCGTGTACATTTTATGGGGACAGGGGATGGTGATTAGGCAGCAGCGCCACCAGATTGGGGAACTTTTCCGGCGGGCGCAGTACAATGGTGCCGATATAGACCAAAATAATCATAGTCAGCCAGAGTCTGATTTAAAATTAACAATGAATATCAATAAGTGGTGAGGTGACGTAACAATTTTTGAACATGGAAAAGAAAAATCCAGTTTAAAATGTATTATCAAAATAATTTTGTTGGCTTTTATAAATCTACATTTTTTTGGCCATGGTGCAATTCGAATTCCCCATCCAACAGTATTGTTAAATGTAGCATTGACCTACATTAATCTTTTTGCCATACAGAGCTATAATTTTAGTAAAGCCAAAAAACAAATTAAAATTTACCAAGTCAACTTTAAATTTTTTTTCCCGTGCTATACACATACGATGTATTTTTTCCGGTGTGCTTTCCCCATTCAAACCCACTGTCCTTGACTTCTTGCCTTCCCCATGATTCTGGGAATCTACTTAAACTTTGTCTTGAGTTGATTTCCTTTTACAGTTTGCTTATTTTTGTTGCTGGAAAAACTTAATTTGCCGTCCGTCCGGGTGTGGGTGTCCATATGAGAGTGTGTGTGAGTGTGTGTGTGTATGTGTGTGGCTGACATGGCTTGTCCTGCTGGCTTGTCACTAGGGCCACATCGTTTTGTGTGTAAATTAAAGCCCGAACAGTCCAGATCCGCCCAGAAAATAGAAAAACTGTCCACTCGCACACAGACATATGGCGAGGCGCACACATGCAAGGATATTCATCTATGTCGCACATCGTTAAGCGCTGCCAGTTTGACTTAATTTGCGTTAAACTTTTTTGTTAAACATATCATTCGCCAGCCAGGCCCCGGCCGCAATGGGGGGGAAATGTTGGGAAATGGGGGGCTCTGGCAGGCCCCAAAAGAAAATAGCCGAACGTGAAGCGGGAAATGTAAACAAAGGCATTAATCATGCCAGCACACATGCGCCAGCAGACAGGGATAGAGATAGATGGATCGCTGTGGGGGAAAAAAAAAGGAAAAGCGGGAAAAACCATAGCAGGTCCATTAAGCTACGCTTCGGTTTTGCCTTTTCCTTTGGCTTTGCTTTCCCTTTTCCTTTTCCCTTTCCTGCGTTTCGGTGGGAAGATAAACAGGCCAAGTCACTCTCACATGGCATTGTCTACTACCCCCATGTTTGTTTAAATGACAAACTGCTGTTTGTTAACCGAATAAAATGAGAAAGCCAAAAAACGAGAAGGGGTTAAGGGGAAAGGGAAGAGGAAACGTAAAATGTAAAACAAATCCAGGTCTGAAATCGAGGGATGGGACCCTGGCCACAACCAACCGATCCGGGCTTCTATTTATTCGCCAGGCAAACTAAACCGCAATAACTGTAAGTGCTCGGCAAACAGCAGCGGCGAGGAGCTCGAAAACCAAAAACTAACAAGCGACAGTTGACAGTCGACACCCACACACCCCAGTGGCACCGAGCAGGCACCACCCTGCACCACCCGGCACCACCCAACATCACCCTGCACCACCCTGCTCCACCCACATTGTCAACCGACCGAGGCAGTCGTGTGTGTCGGACTGGTCCGGCGAATTATTATGATAATCGCTGGCATAAATTATGCCTGGATCCGACTCGGATTGGGAGTCGGAGACACGTACACGTACACGCACACGCACACGCACACAGACTCCGAAACCGACGCCCGGACTCAATGCAGGTGTCGTTTGTCCTACAGTGAGCACTCTCGGCAGGAACCATCCGGTCCCCAGTCGGTGGTTTCGCCTGGTTTTCGAAGGCTTTTATGTTGTGCCTTGGGGAAATTAAGTTTGTGTCATGTTTGTGTCACCGCACAAAGCTCTAAGTAAAGGTGTTCTCCGAGTGTTATGCTTTGCCCGCAGAGCGCCCACAGTGCGTATGCGTGATATGCAAATGGCGGGCCAAAGCAAAAAAAAAGTGCTGCATACTTTGCGGCTGCAACCGGAGGCTTCAATCCACGCTCTTTTTGTTCGCCATTCTGACACAAAGCCATTAACGTGAGCCCGCTGTTTGCCCTTAAAGCTCAGCCCCCTCCCCTCCCTCCGGCACTTCACTCTCTTTTTGCCACGCTTCCTTGGCCAACTGGCTCGGGGGCAATTTATCAAATATTTTATACGAATTTCTGCTGCCTGTCAACGTTGATTTTAGCGCTTAGCCGGGCGCGTTATGTGGGAGTGGCGGGCCAGGAGCAAATAAAACACACCTGTTGCCGCAGCCGACACGTCAATAATGTGCGATACAAACACACACACACACACTCCTCGCCGGAGTGTCCTGTCGCATAATAAAATACACACATGACGAGCAGGAGAAGGAGGACCAAAGTTCGACTGACAGCCCAGTAACATGATGTTTTTCTTGTTTCTCCGTTGTAGGTGTTACAAGATGATGCCGCCTGCCAGGATTGCCAAGATCGCAACCAATTCTGCCCGGGCTTGTCACCGGCAAAGATTCTATGAACCCAATGCAGAAGTACGCTGGCAGCACTCCGAGCACTAAACAGGCTGAGTGGAGCCACTAGCACCCCGAATCCCATCAGGTATTTTCCCATTTTCAATCCCCTAATATCCCCCGATGGCCCTTGCCATCCACTCTACATTCTCCACTCTCCATTCTCTATTCCCCATTCATGGCCAAACTTATTTACGGGCCGCAATTATTTCCAGCATTTTATTTTTACGTCTCTCTGGCAGTTGCTTTTCAATTTTTCGTTGATTTGTTTGTGCTGCGCGTCGGCAATCAAAGTCCCAATTGTTACGCCAGTTTCGCCCCCTTATCGCTTGTTTCTCTGTGTGTGTGTTAGTGTGTGTGTTTGTGTGTGTGTGTTAGTGTGTGTGTGTGTTAGTGTGTGTGTGTTTTCTTTTGCGCTTTGTTTTTATCGCACTGTGTACAAGTGAACGCTTCCGTTTCCGCTAGTCGCGTCACAGTCGGCTCGGTTTGAACCACCCCCACAACCGCCTGAAAGGTTCTCCCTATTTAAATTACATCGGCACTCGCACATTCCAAAGCCATTCATTCCGGGTCCCGACTATTTTTACACACAATTTCTTTGGTGGCTCGGGCTCGGGCTCGGGCCCGCTTTACTTACACAAATTAAACTCGATTCGCAGCGGAGGCAACAGCGGAGGAACTATGATAACGAGGCTCTACAACACCGAAGAGGATCCCGCCTACTGCTCGTTCATCTGGGGCGCCAATCTCACCAGCAGCGCCGATGTCCTGGCCAATGCCACGTCCGTCTTCAACACCGACCTGCGGGACGACTTCTATCGGGTGAGTGCGTTTGCTTTTGGCCATTGAATAGTTGCTGCTTCTGTTGGGGGCACCCATCACCCATTACCCCTCCCCCTGCCCCTGGACCAGTTGCACCTTGGGCCAGTTAGTTGCCCTGGGAACTGGTCGTGTCCTGCGTAGCCCTTGCAGGATGCCTGCTGCGCAGAAAAACGGTTGACTACTTTCGGGCGCCGCGGGAAATGTTTTTCAAAAATGTTCTCGGCTGAGCATGAGCCGGAGGGGCAAAGGGCAAAGGGCGGGGAAGGGAGCTGAGAGGAATTGCTCATTTCAGGGCACAGCAGGCTTTGTTGCATGGCCTCCGTTTCCAAGACACCCAGTTCTGCCTGGCTCGCTTAACTCTTTAAAGTCGAGCTAAACCTTTGGGAGAACCAGACCAATATTTTATTTTGACTCTGCTATTAAAAGTTTACACACTGAATGCTACGAAAATTAGACATTGGTTGTGTAGGTGTAGGTGCCAGGAAATGTATTCCATCAACTCAGATTTAAGCTTAAATCCCAGACTTTATGGGTGTTTAAAAGTATGTAAATAAAAAGGGGACCGTCGTCTCACAAACTCAAAATATAGTGTTGTTGATAAATTTGAACTAGGTTTTTTGGCAATAGAGTATATTCGTATAGGTAATTTTTTGAAGCAGATATAGATACCTTTTGAAATCATTGAGAGTTCATAGGTGTATATTTTGCCAAGCATCATACCATACCTTTACTAAAAAAGGGTACCAAAAGTTGCCCACGCTGGCTGACAGACAACCAAAAGCTGCTTTGTTCGCAACTTTGGCTCAAGGCGAGCCCCGGAAAATGCAAAAATAGAAAACAAAGGGCGCAAAAGGGGTGGCAGTGGAGGCTCCAAAGTGGTGCCACCAAAGTGGTGCCACACACATGGCAACGTAGGAGCAGGGGGCATGCGGGGAATGCGTGTGTGCATAAAAAGTCACAAAATAAAAGTGTCAAGTTGACTATTGAATTTTTATCTGCGGCCGCCCATCCAAGAGCCAACAAAAGGGGCGAAGCCACAAAGAGATGATTTACGAGCTGTTTGGTAGCCCCTTCACACCCACCCACTTGTTTACTATCCTTGCAGGATGTGGAGGATCCGCGGACCGAATCGCTGAGGGAATACTGCTATGGCCTGGTGCTGCCCATCATCTGCGCCATGGGCATCATAGGCAACGTTTTCAACCTGATTGTGCTCACCAGGCGCAACATGCGTGGCACCGCCTACATCTACATGAGGGGTAAGTACCGGGGCACGACCACACACCCGCACACCCACACACTCACGCACACAGAGTCCCAAGCAAACAGGAAATTCTTGAGCCAAAGGACCAACCTCAATACATGATACATTTCGGCAGGATGAAATTCCTATTAATCTGCAAACACAGCCAAACCAGTTATTCGTGTATTTGCGCTTTGAGGCCGTGTTGCACATTCCTAATACACAAGCCTAATACTCGACTGATGTTGGTGGTTTATCGCAAACCCAAGGCATGCACAATTGCTCAAAACGGGAATCCAAACCGAACAGTTTCCATTTTAGCCTTCCTCAACGCTCGATTTCTTTTGGTTGAAACCCCTTTGAAAGGCAGCCCAAGCAAGGTGTCCTCCCATTTCAGTAATTACTGCAGTTATGCCTTTGTTCACTTGTAGCTGTGATTCTGTGCCACCGAAAATACACAAAATTCAAGTGTGAACCAAATTCATTTAATTAGCAAAAACATAAAGTCCTTTAACACACAGCATGGATTTATTGTTCAACTGCAGGGATTATTGTATTTTTGATTCATTTGCAAATTAAAATAGAAGTAATATTCAGTATTAAATTGTAGATTCCATCAATATAAACAGTAACCATTTCAAATCTAAACTTACATAAAAAAATGCTAAGTCGTTTTTAGTTTCTGTTAATTAGGATGCTATTTTCCTTTGTCACCGAAATTAAACAAAATATTCTGCAACAAATCCAATTTAGTTGGCGAAAAGGTAAACTCCTTTGACGCCATACGGCATTCTCTCATTTCATTAATTAAAACACAAATAATTTTCTATGCAATAAATTGTAATTGCCATGAATTGTAAACGGTATCCGTTTCAAATCCAAGCTTATTTAAATGTCATGTCTTTATTAGTTTTTAATCAATAGCAAACCAACAATGAATACTGCCAAAGTAAGCAGCACAAAAGATTGCAATTTTCATTAGATGTGAACCGGATCTATTTCACACTTTCACACTTTCACAATTGACAATTCAATTTATGTGAAGGTGAATTCCTTTGTCATCGAATGTATGTGATTTTTTGTCACTTCAATGAGCACTGTTGTTGCTCGTCCATGAAAATACATTGGAATTTTCGTGAAATGTGAGCAGTAAATGATTTCAATTTTAATTCGCTCAAAGGTAAATTCCTTTGCCTAAGCAAACAGTTGCAGTTTATGGTCTGTGCATGCAGTGATTAGTGAATTTACGTTCCTTTTTTTTTTTTTTCTAGCAGCATAAAGGGAGGAAAATTTCATCAATTTTCAATTTGCAATCTTTGACTAAAACTGCATCATAATCCTTGTATTGTTCGCCAGGACTCCACGCTGCTGCCCGTAATGAATTTAGGGCTCTGATTTCATTTGATTACCACATATTTCCCATTTGCCAGAAAGATTTTTTTGACTTTTCGCAACAAGTCCAAAGCCCATGTTGCGATTACCCATATTGGATTTCTGGCCCAGAGACACACTCGTACGTCTTCGCCCACGCAAACATTGAATTTCCTAAGCTTCATTGCCATTCCGGTGGGAGGAAGGGAATTGGGCTCCAGTCTTGACTGATTGTCAAATTGAGTTTCGCTTTACAACATGTGTATTCCCCACCGACGAACGTTTCTGGCCATTGTGCCCCCGAATTTATTCATTAACCTCGACGATTTCTGCCGAAATTGAAGCTGCCACAATGCGGCTAATATATGCGCACTGCCGTCGTGTCATGTGCGTGTGCAGCCTCATTGAAAGTTATTTCATTAGATGAGACCGGTTAACCCCGTGGAAATTTATGCAGAGCCAGGGCCCCTAAGCCTATGCCACGCCCATTTCCCCCCCCCACAACTACCCCTTGCCACAACATTCCGTTGTGTTAGTCAGCATGTCAACTCTATTAGACACTCGTTTGCTTTATGGCGCTTTAATTGATTAATGAGGCCCACTCTTTGGGGCGGGAAAAAGGAAACTTTGTCACTGCGCCGCCACTTGCTGGTTATTTTTTAGCCTCGACTATCACTCACGAGGAAGGAAGAGGCGGCCCAAAAAGGCAACGAACAAGGAAAACAGAAACAGGCGACTCACTTTACTTGTCAAGGAGTCCTCGCAAGTCCTCGCAAGCCGAAGCATTGAATACCCTGAGGTAGATGAGTGGATTGCAGAGCCCAATGATTTAGGCCAAAGTTATGATATCCCGAAGACCCCAAGCCATTCTAAATACAGATCTCAACAATGCGTCTAAACTTTTCCCTAGTCTCCGCACTCCCATCCAATTACCGACCGATAACTCCTAGACTTTACGACCTGCCAAAGGGCAAAAGTGCGTGGCCGATCTGACTGGCATTTTAATACCCCATAAAAGAGTATCCTGCCCTTGCAAAATGCGAAAATAAAATGTAAAATGCTCCAAATGTAATACGCATGCTAGGGCAGCATAATTGATTGCCCTTTCGACTGCCTTGGCCAAAAATGTAGGAGGAGCGAGGAGTGAAAAAGGACTAAAGCCCGGAACCCAGAAGGAGAAATGCAAAGCGAGACCCTTTGGCTGGTGAGTGACTGAAATATCACCAGCCTCAGAGCGCTGTTCAAGTGGCAGTAAATAAAAGTTGTGAGGAGCCTCGGCGGCATGAGTAATAATGACCGAAATCAGAGCCACCGCCCCTCCCAACGCTGCTCATTTTATTAAAATAACAAAAATATTTTGCTGCTCGCAGCCTTTTTACGATGCCAACCGACTGGCGGCCCATTTGTTATTTGGCGGTCATTGCCACCAAATGGTCTCCTGTCCCTAGTCCTCGTCCTTTTCCCAAGGACTAGTGTGTGTGCTGACCAAAGTTATGCAGTTGCGGATGGGAAAAATGTTTTATTGCCAACTGGGGAATGCCAAAATGGCCAGGGAGATCCCCGATCATAGCCGTTTAAATCGATTTAAGGAAGATCTCGCTTAAAGCACTCCATCGCTATTCCAGCTACAAACAAATTCCAGAGGCGACAAGTCCAACACTTGAGATTTGTATAACAAGGGGGTGCTGATGAGGAGAGATAATGGCAGGACACTTGTCAGGCTTGGCGCAAACAAAACTGACATTTATATTGATGTGTCCCTGTACCCAATTAGATGCCCATCATTATGACAGCCTCCTTTTTCGGGGAAGTCATACATCGAACATTAAGCCCTGTGTGCACAGCAATTTGGCGGGAAGTGGCAGCAGGACGCACATGATATTAGTAATAATGTAATTATATGGTCATAAACAAAATAATAAATCAATAAACAACACACACGCGCGCAGGCACACGAGTGAAAGTTATCAAAAAAAGAGAAAGGGAAGTTGAGAAAGGGGAACCGGAAGGGAAAGCCATTCATTTGGCCGCGACTCGAGTGTCTCTGTGTCTGCATGTGTGTGGGTGTGTGTGAGTGTGTGTGTGTGAGTGTGCGTGTGTGTGCCGTTACTTCCTGTTGCCACATGGCGGAAACGGCGCCATAATTATGCCATAAACCCAACCATAAAGGACATTTTTATAGATTTGCCCGAGTTAATCCCTTTGTTTTTCTGCCCCTTCACCCCCCCCGTGCCCCGTGTGTGTCACCCCCTTTCCCCCCCTTTTCAGCTTACTCCACCGCCGCCCTGCTGGCCATCGTGTTCGCCATCCCCTTCGGCATCCGCATGCTGGTGCACAAGGATCGGGGGCAGTGGGAGGAGTTCGGGCCCGCCTTCTACACCGCCCACTTGGAGCTTTATTTGGGCAACGGCTGTTTGGGTGAGTCTCGGCTGATTGTGGACTTGCCACAGGGAGAGCTTTCGAAAGTAGGAAAGCCTTTCTTACCCGACATTCTTGGTGATTCAAGCTGGCCAAATCGCTCGACATTTTGTCAATATCCGTACTATACATATTTTGTATTACAAAATCCTCTACCGACTTCACTAAGGTTTTGAAATCACTTATAAAGATGTCTAAAAGTAGGCAAAAATATTTTTACGGGATTCGAAATCCTCTTTTTAAAAACTACTTTATTTTTTGACTGCATTCTTTTAGACACCTTTTCATGGTGACTTCATTGGCACCTTTCATAACCTTTTCGTTTATGTTTTAAGAGCTTTGACTATTTAATTGCCAGTCACGTTTGAATGCCTCTTTCATATATCAAATTTAATAATTTTATTATTATTTAATATTAGTTTTTTTGAAATATCAAGCTCAATTTATAACGTTAACCCCATTTCTTGGATCCATCAAGGCGTTGGCGTGATGATGTTACTAGTTCTGACCATCGAGCGCTACGTCTCCGTGTGCCATCCCGGATTCGCTCGACCAGTGATGGGACCACCAGGGTAAGCAGATTCGTTCTCTGGATTGGCCAGTTAAACCAATTCAATTTATGCCCTAATCCCTGCCAGAGTTGTGGTTTTCTTCACCTGCTTGGCCACGGTGATCGTCTACCTGCCGAGCATTTTCCGTGGCGAGCTGATCAAGTGCATCTTTGGCTCCAGCGACGCATTCGTGTACTTGCGGCGCGACAACACGATCTACCAGCAGACCATCTTCTACCGCGTCTACAAGATAATGCTGGAGGTGATCTTCAAGCTGGTGCCCACCCTGGTGATCGGTGGCCTCAACATGCGCATCATGATGGTCTACCGGCGGACCTGCGAGCGCCGCAGGCAGATGGTCCTCAGTCGTCCGCACGCCCACGCCCACGGCCACGGCCACGCCCACGGGCAGGGGCACGGACACAGTCACGGTTATTTGAAGGACGACGATCCGCGGAAGTTCGCCGAGGAGCGGCGTCTGTTCCTGCTGCTCGGCAGCACGTCCATCTTGTTCCTCGTCTGCGTCTCACCGATGGCCATTCTCCACATGACGATCGCCTCGGAGGTGTACCCGAGCTTCCCCTTCCAGGTGTTCCGGGCCAGCGCCAATCTGCTGGAGCTGATCAACTACTCGCTGACCTTCTACATCTACTGCCTGTTCAGCGAGGACTTCCGCAACACCCTGGTGCGCACCATTAAATGGCCCTGGCTGAAGGGCAAGTGCTGCCACCAGGCGGAGCACGAGGTGAGTGCCAGTCCACCGGCCACCGCCGGAACCGTAGCAGTAGCCGTTGCCGTTGCCGGAACTGGAACCGCGCCCGGCCACGTTACCAATTTTAATCCGGCCATTCCGGCGCTGATTCTCACCCCCGCAGAACACGAGGAACGGCCCATCCGGCTTGCCAATGGCGTGCTTCACTAAGGTAGATAAGGGGCGCCACAAACACCACATAACCACCACCTCGGGCCTGGGACGATCGAGTAGCATTTAGCCAACGCCCATCGTCCATCGTCCACCGCCCACTGCCCACCACCCACAACCACAACCCAACCGCCCATCCGCTACTCGAGATCCGCACTCCGAGAACCCCCCCAGCCCAGAGTAACCCCTCCAACACTCCCCCCAGGTCGCCGAGGTGTGCGGCCCCTTACTCTCGCTAAAGATACCGCTGCATTCAAGGTGTTGAGATAATGATAAGATAAAACGATATTTAATAACCAGCGCCAAGCATTGCGTATATAAGTGTCTGTGTATGTGTGTGTTCCTTAAGCGTATTTATAAATATGCGGATAATTTTTTTGGTAGCTTTAGGATTAGAGATTAATTCAATTTGATCGAAAATACATAAATAATCGGCAGAAAAAAGAAATGAGCGAAAACGAAAATGAACTATGAATGCAGCTTAACAACAGGTACGCAATTTAGTCCAAGGGATCTAAAATATAGTGTGGGTCACCTCATTTCCAAAGATCCGAATTTCTAAACAGAACAGAAAAGACAATTTGAATGGTTTTAAGAAATTTGAAATTTTACCAAAGTTACAGTAAGGTTACAAAATAATCGAGGTATCTCTTTCCAATCAAAAGTTATTAAATAAGAGATAGGGGAGACTTTTTCAAAAAAGTGCCATTTATGTAATATTGTAACACCTGTTTCTTTGGTAAAACTTCAAGACTTTAAAAACCACTCAAATTGTAATTACTTTTTTTGTTGGGAACCGAAAAAGCCAAAAAGTGTAAAGAGATTCGTAACTTTGAGAAATGAGGTTGTCCCCAACAGATACAGATATGATGATATCGTAATATTATACTTAAAGAGCTCGTATACTCTAGTTTTAGATGGATTTCACAGACAGATACAGATACAGATACAGAACAGATACAACAGACATACAGACTAACATATTAGACAGACAAGTGGGACAGAAACACAGCGAGAGAGAGCTAGACGATGATAAGATACTGACATACAATACTAATATATTTACTTACATATATCTATATGTGAACGATATTTATGTAAACGACGTATTTATGTATACACGCGTAACTTTAAGCGAATATATTTATATATGCATATATGTATCTATTGATTATAGCATTTAAGTGCGCGCAAGTGAAATCCCGATTCCAGCCCCAGATCCAGATCCAGATCAAGATCTAAATCTGGCATCCTGCTGAGCCCTTTCGTCTGACGAAATTGTATTGAAACTGTATTGTTGAGTGAATTGAGATTGAATTGTTAAGTTAATTAATTGTAGTCACACTACTTATAGTTCTACTTTTAATTCTAGTTATAATTCGAGGTCTAAGTTATCTAGGTATCTAGAGTAATCGAAGCGATTTTAGAATACCCCCCACCCCCCCTTGGTTGTCAGTCTGAAGGGGAACTCCACTGAACCCACTCCTCCGTTAGTCCAAGGACCATTGACCCCTGACCCCTGACCCCTTGCCCCGCCCCCTTGCAGCACGCGTAGCTAACTTTACTAAATGTGTGTACCTAGTATTTTAACAAAGCAAAGCAACCGAAACTTCCCAGTGATGTCTATTTACCCAGCGTCAGTAGGTGCTGCGCAAGTCCAAGGCTAAGCTAAGGCTTGCATTGCATTCAATTTACAAATATCTAAATGTATATCTACCAAAACGATATCCGCGGCAGAGTCCCTTTCGGCAAAAAGAGTTGGGTCAAACTAATCGGAATTCGAGAGGAGTGTCGAAACAACCAAAAAGCTGATATGGGCAAGGTGAATACAACCCCGGTACAAATTCTAAAAGAATATCGAAAAAATATATTAATGTTGAGATCCTCCTTAAAAATTTTTTTGCAAATTCAAAAACCATTTTCTTAAGTGAATTTTAAATTTCTATAAGAACTAGACAAAAACTTTTTGATTTAAAAACAGACTGGTAATCTTATGGCTTGCTACTTAAAAATTCAATAAAAATTCGTTAACCTATGTTAAAGGTAAAATATGTTAGAAGAAAAAGCGTACCGATTCGGAATTATGCCAAAAGTATACCATATTTGAATATGTGTTTAATAGTTTTTGAAATATGTAACTTATTCTGGTCTTTCTGCTTATTAACTCAATATTATTCTACTTCCTAAAAGAGCATTCTCAAAAATCGTTAAGTTATTAACAAATCATAAAATGCGTTATGGGGATTGGCCAATATATTATATTTTAAAATGTATTTGATTAATTTAAAAACTTTAACGATTCAATATCGTACAAAATTCTTGCAAAAAATAATATTCAATTGTTGACTAGAAAAACCTAACAAAAAATGGTGAAAAAAGAATTGCAATTACAATTAATATTTTAAAGTATATTCGAAAGAAGTTATCGAGCCCGTTACAAAATTAGTTAGCATACTCGCCAGGATATCGAAGAATATCCCTGCATTTGGCAGCTACTCAAAGGTGAATTATCACATTGATTGAACTTAGATCCTTTTGTTTTCGTTTTCCCGAGCTCAGCTCAAAGCCAAGAGAAAAATTAATATTTAGGAACGTAGATGAACGAATTGAAAAAGTGAAAAGTCAGGCAACTTGAGGCTTTTAGGACACCAGAAACCCGGAAATCAGAACAGGCAGCACGAAGGCAAATCAAGAATATCCAGAAATAGAGTCAGAGCAGCGTGAACGAAGGCAGATGGAGTTTAAGCGAATAAAGCATACAACGCAATGCATAACTTACCATAAACAGCATACAAATACCCAATCTAAGCAAAAATTTTAATTGGTGTCAAAGTTCAAGAATAAAAGTCAAGAAAAGCAGCTGAGGACTTTCATTTTGGCATGGTGACCGGGTGTGAATTGGAAAGGCTAAGTATTATGTGCAAAAAAATCTTTATTAGTAAACTATAATTAACAGAAAAAAAAGTTTGTTTGTGGAGGCGTGGGAAAATGGAAGAGCAGCGCGATCATCACACAGCAGCAGGAATAATACCGAAAGCGTTCTTACAGCTAACCCTTAGACTAGTCTCAGTTCCCGGATCTCTCTCTCTATCTCTCTCTCTCTCTCTATCTCTCTCTCGTTCTGGGGGGAGTCCTTCACCTTCACCAAGGTCGCCACACCACCAGACGCTGCTGGACCAGATCCGCCAACTGGCGCTGCCTCTGCCGCTTTCTCTCAAAGATCTGGTGGCGAATTTTCAGCAGGATGCTATCACGTGGTGCCGGCACGGCTGCACTGGAGGATTTGGCGGGCGAGGATTGGTGGAGCTGCTCTATGAACTCCAGGTCCATCTCATGTGGCGGCGACGGGAAGTGCACCTTCTCCGGTTCCTGCTCCTGATCGGTGTCCTGATCCGCGGCCAGATTGCACTGATATTGCAGCTTGAAACGTTGACGCTGGGGAAGAAAATAAGGCGAAAATCCAAATTAGTTTCAAAATAATAGTATTTCAATCCCTTTGAACCAAACTAAATATTTAGCTTACAATTAAAAACCAAACAAAGAGTTATCTTATACAATTTAACGTTTCTCAACTTTACTGCAATATGATAAGCCCACAGTTCTGGATTATAACACATATAAAATAATACAATATTTATTAATTTCCTGCTCCTAGCTCAAAAAATGAATTAAACTTCCCTCCAATTCTATTGGTTAATCTGTGGATTTGTTTTCGCTTTAAAGTGCGAAAGTTTGAAAAAATAAATAAAACATTTTTCCTAGTTCCATTTTTAGCAATATCTTCTGATTAGATTAAGATTAATTTGAGGTTTAGCTTTAATCCCTGGAAAAACTCTGGTTAACTTCCTGTTGAAACTGAGGTGCTCACCTTCTTTCGCGCCGCATTCTCGGCCAGAAATCGGCAGAGCTGCTGCAGTTGCTGCTCGGCCAGCTCCTCCTTGTCCTGCCCGATGTGATCCGGCTCCTGATCCTGATCCTGCTCATGCTCCTGCACCAGGTGATCCTCCAGGCGGCGCTGCTGCTGGCGCTGCTTGATGGCCGCCTGCACCTTGCACCTGGTGGCCGAGCTCAGGCTGAGATCCATGCTGCGTTGCTGCTTCAGTATCTTGTAGATGACGCCCATCGATGGTTGATGTGGCTCTGCTGTGGGTCCTGCGATATCACCGATACACTCGTGTCTATATATCTTCGATTCGAGCGCGTCGAGCTGCGGCCAAAGACTGTCCCGAACCGCTCGACTTCCCGGTCTTTATATCGCTGCTTTGCCCGTTTTGTTTGGAGATCGACTCTCCGAACGATTAAAAATAAAACATAACTCGTGGGCCCATGTGTTGCTGGTTGCGCGCCAAACTCGAAACTCCGACTCCAACTGCAGCCCGCTTTATGGGACATTGCTCAAGTGGAGTCGGTTCTATTTTCTGCTCTCATTACAATGCTTTTTAGCAGCGCAACGGCGCAACACATGTGGCAGCACCCAAAAATAGATCCTCTCACACAGCTGCAACACTTTCGCTGCACCGACTGCAACATGCAACATCCAGCGACGGCAGCAACATCGGCGCATGTGGCCGTCGCGCAGCCAAAGTCCCATTTCCATTTCCATCTCCATATCTCTGGGTCCTGCTCCTGCTCCTTCTATTTTTCCGTCTCCTCCGCCACATTCATTCCCAAATCACGAACCGAATTTTTTCGTAGCAGTTCGCCGCGAGAAACCGCATGTTTTGGCGCCGGTTTTCGGTTTTAAAGGGTAGCTGGGGTATATCGATTGTATTTCATAGGAACATCATGTAAGGCAAACACCAATAAATTACTATCTCGTATTTTCTAGTGTATAACTTTCGTATCAATGTTTAAAAAGCTATGGACATTAGTTGTTTAAAGGGTGCTATGCCTTTCAAATACAGATGTATTAAACAATTTTAATAAGTTGGTTTTCTATATATCCGCTTGCTTATCCTAGATAATTTCAGTCTAATAATTTGATTTTTAAATCCCATGTCATTAAAAATTATACAAACTATACCTTCAATAGGATTTATCTTAAACGTAGTTAAAATTAAATACATTTTTTTGCTTGTGAACAATTTATTTATTTTCAGGGAGCAAGAAAATATTGTTATTTGTGTATTGTACATATATTTTTAAAGGACTAAATGTTTTTTTTAAGCCGTCACAAATCAAACTCTTTTTTGCTAATACCCACAAATAAAACAAAAATAAATAAAACTCCATTCCCTATTGCTAAAAAATATGCAAAAATCAACCAAAACAATAAAATAGTATTAGTTTTTTACAAATCCGGTAACTATCTTTTTCGGTACATGGTTGTTTTTAGTTTCTTCCGGAAATTCCTATTAAAAAGGGGTACTCCAAGTGTCGTACCCTCCTCTAATGGATCATCACCGAAAGCAGCATTGTGTAGAGCGTCATAATCGCAGTGCCGCAAGATGGGATTGGATCGGATCGGATCGGCAACGGAAAATACATATTATAAATAGCGCCTGGGAAAAAACACTTTGCAGCGGCCACTCATCTGTGTGTGTGCGTGAGTGTGTGTGTGTGTATGTGTGTGTGTATGTGTGTGTGTGTCTGTGTCACGGCATGCACTTGAACTCTGCATTCACATGTTGTGTGTGCAATGCGACTCACTCCCTCTCCCTCTCCCCCTCACTCTCACTCGCACAGCCCTCTCACTCGCACCATGGTACTCGAACTCGTACTATCGCATGCCTGGCGTGCCTGCGCCTTGGCCCTATATATATTTTTGTTGGTCTTTCTCCTGTTTTATTTGGACTTCAAGATGTTTCAGAGTGCACTTCAAGTGCGTTACAATTTGTGTCTATTTTTGGCCGCTTGGGAATATCTCGGGGAATACACAGCGATAGCTGGTTCTTGAAGAGGGGAAAAGGGAGATAGATAACGGGGATTTTTATAATGTAAATCATTGCCGGCAACCCCATCTATATCGGTACGAGATGGGGTATAATTGAAACATGTTTAACGAGCAACTTTATAGGCGTTTCAGCCCATTGTCCATGGAATTAGATCCGCCTCTAGGGAATCGGAATGTTTGATTGTCGAGGTGATAAGCGTACAGTGGGCCAAGTTCGATTAAAAACCCAAAATAAGTCATAACACTTCGATGTCCATTTCCCAAAATTATCAAAGTGGACTATTGCGTTTGGAATATGTAGTAGTAATACCAATAAAAACCTTTCTCAATTTAAGCAAAATAACGTATGTAGTTACTGTAGTTTTTTATAGGTTTTAAACATGTTGTAATCTAAGCAAGTATATACAGAAATGATGCTAAAAACGTTTAATAAGTGGTCATTTAAGAAGTAACCTACTTTTTTGTTTCAATTGCATATCAATCTACTGAAGCTGAAGGATTTATGGCGTTACATAAGTGTTTAATTAGGTACTCAAATTATTTCCAGTGTGTCCGACCCACTGTGCCTCTAATGATCCCTTCCCGAGCGTCAGATTTTCGCGTGAGCGACCGCCCCTACTCTCTACTTAAGTGCGTCTGTTCTTGGATTTCAGATGGATATTCATGTGTATGTAAGCCCCATTAGCCAGGGATTGTGTACTAAAACGACTGTTACAAATGTAATTTCGATACTCAACTCGGTGAAGAAATTGAAGCCCTTCACTTGACTCAGAGCGGTTGGCTTCACTTGGCTCCTTATCTGTCGTCTGGGGCTGCGTTCGGGCAACCCTTAGAGTGACAATTAGCTGTTGGCCTGGGAAAACGTTTCCCACAATATCGGTCGATTGGGGGAACAAGCTGTGTCGTAAAGGAATCTTCTGGGGCCTGTTCGTAGAAGCAATACCGAAAAGCAGGGCGAACCGAATCGAGTTGCTACGAAACGAAATGAAACGAAGCGAGCCCAACAAGTGCAGGTTCCTGAGAGGGTAATAATTTGATGTCTCCATATCCCTCCGCTTGTCCCGGGCTAATCAATACTCGATACGATCTATAGTTTATGGGCTATACGTCTATTTCGGGACTTCCGCTGTTCTCCAATCCGAGATCTACGAGTACTGCGAACTTGGGCTGGAAATATGGAATCCCAGCCGTAATCCCTGTGACCCACTGATGCCGTCATGAACGCCCAACGCGTCGTTGGGCGCGAAAAGTTGTCAATGTCACCCGGTGGGGCCCCCAGAAGAGCGCGCCAATTTCCACCGCCCCACCATCCCACCGTCCCACCACCACCACGCGTAATTTCCCACGCTCCCAGCGAAAAGTTAGTGGGATGAATGGGGGGGGGAGACCTACGAGGGGGAAGCCCTAACAACTTGTCAGCGGAGCTGTTAATGAGCTGCGTGTGTTGAGGGAAGACGTGATGAATCTACACTGCCTCGGCCCACTTGTGGAGCTGAAAATCATAAGTTATCTGCAGGTTCTTAAAGATCAATCAAAACCAAATCAAGAACTTAGATCCCTTAGAAGAAATGCAATGTACAACAACACAGCGACTTGGCGGAATACTTTAAAGGCAATTTTATTTTATAAAACTACAAAAATTTTAAAAATGACAAAGAAATCTTGAATTCTTGTCTAAATTATATATTTTTTCTAGTTTTTAATTTTTGTATTATATGTTTTGTTTTTATTGCATTTATTTGTATCTTTAAATCTTAAGAACGTAAATTGATTTATGAAGCAAATCTTTCCATACCTATATATCTCAATTTAATCTAAATTTTTTGAAAAATTCATTCCCAAAGAAATTAAAAGTTAAGATACTATGAGCCTCGTAGACAAAGCTCATATGCTGCAAGGTGAGGGTATCGAAATACATTACGATTTGCGCACGAGCAGGGCAGACAGAGGGAGTAGTGACAACTATGAGATGATCTGGGGATCGGACCAAAGTTCTCTGGCACACAACATGTGTTGACTGCCCCAGCCTCCCCTCCCCTCCCCTCCCCCTGCCACGCCTCCTCTGATGGGGACGCCCCCTGTCCCTGTGTCATGTGTGGCGTTTAATAGCTTGCCTCAGCAGCTTGCCGCACTCGCGTGCACCAGGGCAAGTATGGTAAGTGAGAATCGAGCGTGGGAAACCCGCGCTTGCCGCAATCTCAAAAAGCCATTTGAAAAGCCCAGGCCTCTGCAGAAAGATCAACAAAAACAAAAACAAAAACAAAAAGAAGGCGATTGGCAGCAACCGAGACACTTCAGCTGCCACGGAAGCCACTGCAGAAAAGCCAAATAAACAGAAGCACTCAGAACCAGATTCTCTCCAGCTTCAGCTGAGGTTGTAATCGTCGGATACACGGAAAAAACTTACTCTAAAAAATTAAATTCAAATATATAAGAAAAAATTTAAGAATACACGACTGTATTTTGTGTTTTATCCATTACATAAATGAAGCTATTTCCAATTTTAATAAATCGAAAAATATATTTATAAAATCGTTAAATATTATCATTTTATATAATACAATTATATACTTTATACGATCTTGACTAAAATTATAACAATTTCCTTCCATTCATAGAAGGTAACATAATATAATTAGATTGGGCTATTTGAAGTATGTATTGTATTTGCCGCAGAGATATTGCAGATTTTATGTACGAGCTATTAAATTTCATCAATATAAAATTATGTAAAAAATTCAGATATAGCAATTAGCACTTATCTTTAATATTCCAATTAAAGTTCAAACCGCTTCAAATATTTTTTGAAGTGTGTAGATGTTACTGGTCATGATCGTGATATTGTCAAATAAGTATTTTGTGGTGCCGCATTTGGTGGCCTGATAGAACGCAATATGATTGCGTAACACAATTTCGGCAAGCGGATGTCGACTCCCTCCACCTCATTTTCCCCTGCCGCTTGACCATCCAAGTACCCCCCTGATCCGTTGCAAGATCCCTAGGCAAAATGTGTAAACAAAACCCGGCGACATTCATATTTTGCCATCGGGACTTTTTCTCAATGGAGAGCACGCATCTCAGTCGGCGTCGCTGCTTTGGTCGCGGAATATGACAGAAATCGGAGATGGTTGATGCGAAAAATAATTACAAATACATTAAGACTAGAAAACACCTCGCAGCAATTTTAACATATTTAACAGAAGACTGGAAACAATAAATAAATGCATAATATCAATAAAATAATGTTGTTCCCTAAAATAGACACGTTAAATAAATCAGGTAACAAAAATATATTATGCAGAAAAATAAAAGAGATTAGTGGAGAGGCCTTAAAAATCATGTAATAAAGATGTTTAAATATGCAACAATGTATTTTGAGTCCGGAAATCTGATTGATTCATAAGGAAAGCTTTTTCCCTTTAGAAATATCATTTCAATAAGCTATATATTTCCTTAAAACCAATATACCCTGAACTCCATTTTACGGGGTATCTCAAAAGTGGCGCTGCTCTACTCCGCTGTGCCATTCAGTCGCTCAAGACCCGGCTTACTATTTGGAGGCCCGGATCAGGAACTGGGCCCGGCTAACGATGCCAAGTCAAAAGGATCAGGAATCCGATGGACTGAGCGCGGTGGGGGCCATGTCCCGCACCCATCAGTACCGCAAGGTGATGAAGCCACTGCTGGAGAGGAAGAGGAGGGCTCGCATCAACCGCTGTCTGGAGGAGCTGAAGGACCTGCTCAAGGAGATGACCTATGTGGTGAGTGGGGTCACCAAAACCCAATCCTGCCTTTACATCTCAGCTTCCTGAGCAAAATTAGTGGCTACGAACCAAATTCGAGTTTAATCTTAAAAGATAACCTGATTTGATAAGTATCAAGTTGTTATTTGTACGGTTTTGTCTTCTTAAGAATATCGATTTCAATACTATATTTTTTAATTTTGATGTCTAAAGGATATGTTGAAAATAAAGATTAATTATTATTATTATTATAATTTACGTTTAAAATTAATAAGACCAAATTCACCATCCTATTGTCGGACAGATCTTTTTTCAAAGTTGTTGTTGTAAGCACAAAATTTAAATTTTTTGAAATTGTCAACAATAAACCAAATTCAAGTATGTAAACTGTAACGAACGTTTAAATAGAGTTGTACCAAACAGTCCGTTTTTAATAGGTCAGGCTATGAGTTGTTAGATCTAAATTCATGTATATTTTTAGGACGCCGAAACCTTGGTCAAACTGGAGAAGGCCGACATCCTGGAGCTGACCGTTCACCATCTTCACAGGCAGCGCTGCTCTGAGGCCACGCCCATCGCCGCCCTCTCCGCCAGCCAACTGCAGCGACTTTCGATGGAGCGGTACTGGTGCGGATTTCGCCAGTGCGCCTTGGAAGTGTCCCGATTTCTGCAACGTAACGATTGCCATCTCAGCGACAGGTTCCTCGAAGAGATGGAGCAGCTGGTGCCCTCCAAGCCACGCCTCTGGAGACCTTGGTAGCCATCCTGGGGAATCCCCGCCAAAGCTCCTTACCTCGCCTAGTTAAAATGGCACTTACCAATCGATTACTCTGGGTTAGTTAAGTCTGTAATTACGCAACAATAAGCTTCATAATCGAGGGTAGAATACCATATAAATAATGTCCTTTTTCAAGTGATTCCAAATCACTTTAGAAATATTTTACGAATAAAACTACAAATTAGATTTCTTTTGCTTTAAGTTTTTCTTTTCGCAATAATTCCAAAAACTTGTTAGTTATGTGTGTGTGTGTAGAATGTGTGTAGTGTGAGAATGAGTTTCCGCTTGGGATTTGTTTAGAATCGATTTAATTGTTAATAAACATTGCTTAATGCATTCGAATGCTAAACTAAGTATTGCTTATGTTGAATATAATGCACACAAAGTAAGGATTTCATCTGTTATCAGTATCGTTAACGTTATCAATGTAGTAGCTTACGAGATACCCAAAAAAAAATACATATCAATAGAGTAGTCGACAAAGAGTGTTTTCGAGATTATCTTTAAGCTTCCTATTAGCTTTAATAGCAATACGTGTTAGTGTCTGGCCGTGAAAATGGGATTTTCCTAGAGCCTAAGATGGTTTTTTTTTATGGTAGGCTCTCAAACTTTCCGCCGTTGTATGTACAGTACATGAGTTTCACAATAATTTGGAGTTTGAGTGTAAGAAGCGCAAAAATTGATTGTTGCTGCAGTTTGTTTTAGTTTGGTTTTCCATCGACCTGTTGATTTGTATCTGTTGCATATATGTATAGGTATATTCATAGTTTCGTATATATATTTATTGATATCTTATCAGCTTCGCTTGATTTCTTTTGTTTTTCTTTCTCGAGGAAGGCATGCAAACGTGTGCAGTGTAAGTGTGGGTGTCTTCTTAAAGTCAAATCGTTTCCAACAATAAATCTATGCAAAAACAATTTGCAAATTGCACAAGTAAAATACAAATGGGGATTTCTATATAATAATAGGTGTATATATAATTATAAATATCTGTGTGTGTATATATATATATATATATTTATTTCTCTCCCTATATATAAAGTGTGTATATCAATTTATTTGGCCTTTATCTATGAATATTTAAATACGAGTGTACAACTAGAAATATGTATCGGGTGCTGGGCAATCAAAAAAAAATAGGGGTAGAAACCTCGGAATCGGATTTGGAATCGGAATATCGGTGTCAGAGAGGATGAGACAAGCATTATCTAGGGCCGATCCAATCTGAAACCTCAGCGGCAAAGCAAAAATTCTATGTTAGTATATCGAATTCTTTTTGGTTTTTGATTTCTAAGCGGGAAGCAAAATTTATAGCCAAACTTAAGGAGTTCACTACAAGGCAACTTTATAAAAAGGGATTTATGTTTATGAGGGCGAAGGATTGATAGGGATATTTGGATATGGGTTGTTATAAGAGTGTTCAGATAACGGGCTACAGAGAAAGTTCCCTCACAATAAAGTTCATTTAACGATCTAAAGCTGAACCACATATAAACTATAGAAATTATTTTAGCATGGTGATTAGATAGCTCTTCTTTTTCAACAGAAGATGGGAACAGCTCATCCAACCAAAAAGTGAACCGAAAAGAAATTCATGTTTGTGTATCAGAGAGAGATGGAGCGATAGAGAGAGATAGAGAGTGAGTCCATGATAAGGGCGATAGTTTCTGTTTTTATTTTTGGTAAGGCATTAGAAGAGGGTTTCCCCCATTACGATATACTTTCAAGCTCTGGTGAGGTGTAAAACAAGTACAAATACAAGTAGAAACACACAATTTGATATTATCGTTGCTCTGGTAAGGCATGCACAATAAACACATAGAAAAAGGTTAAAGTTCTATCAAAGATTCATCTAGGAGTGGACTCCTCTTGTCCGAAAAGTGAAGGTACCATAGCAAGATGAAGAGATGAGGGGGGCCATTACATGGTCCACAGCAAAATCAGGTTGATTGTCAAGCTCAATGGGGAAGAATGAGGAGTGGAGAGTAAAGAATCGGGGGATTCAAGAGGAGTCCTTAAGCCGCATGCTGGTTATCGCTACATAATCCACATGCAAGTGTGTCCACAACTCTTCTGTCATCTCTATAACTTTTAGTTTAAAGGATCGATTATCTGGTTAGCTAGAGAGTAAATAGTGAGTGTGGGGGCCTTAGCTTAGTTTTAACTTTCATTTCGATTATCAACACGTTCGATTATCAACAGTTAGAGCAGCTGGCCTGGCAAAAACCCAAAAAAAAAGAAAAACAATCGATGGGCGTCTAAGCCAATAGCGAAATAGTATCGGTATAAATATCGGTATATGTACCAGCTAATTCGGTGCTGCATTATGTATGTATATTCATATTTTTAGGTAGAGTAGCTGTAGCTTCACTTGATTCTCATTTTTGTTTTTTGCAAAAAAAAAATTGCTATTTTCACTGGCCTAATTAATCGACCATCGCTTTCGCTTGGCTGGTGGCACTTATCAATAGTTGTCAATTTAAATTTCTCGTTTGCTTGGCAAGCATTTCAATAAAAATGCCTAAGAACATTATGGAGCAAGTGCCTAATAGATAATTTAAGTATGTTTTATTTTAATCAATACCTATATTTATCCATACTAGCCGCACACATAAATATATATATTCAAAAAAGCGCTTCCTTGAATTAAATTGGTGTTCTTTTGTTTTCAATTAGTTAGCGAATTTTTTGTAACAATTTTCTTTTTTTTTTTTAGCTTTATGCGGCTTGGCTCTTGTTAATTGAAATATTATGTATATATATATGCGTATATAATTTGCTATTAGTTGGAATTTCACTTAAGACGAGTTCTCAATGGGCTAAACACTGTGTGTGTGTGTGTGTATGAGCGTTCTTTGTGTGGGTGTGTTTGGATGTGTGCGGGAGGGGGGGGTTGGGTGTTGGGGGCTATCGAACTGCCCCCCAAAAAGTCAAATGGCATATGGTACACGGGTGTGTGTGTGTGTGTGGGCGTGCTTGTGAGGGCGACCTTTGACCCGTCTGATCGTTGATCCATCGTCACCTATCACTGTCACTATCGCTCCCTCCCCGCCCCTCCTCCACCGCCTGCGCACGACTACAGGTCCCGCGGTTAATCACCACCTAAACTTAACGCCTGCACTATACGTGGATCAGCTTTACTGCCCTCGCGGAATTCCTCCAGCGTCAGGCGATCGTCGTGGTTCTTGTCCATCTGGTCGAAGATCTTGTCCACCCGCTTCTGCGGCGTGTTCTCGTCCTCCGTCTGCTGCTGCTGGCCCTGCAAAGCGAGTGTTTACTGTAGTTGCATTGCCAACTGGTTGGGAGCAGCGATACTTACCACCATCTGGTAGATGGCATCCACTATGTTGTACATCTCCTCGCGGGTTATGTAGCCATCGTTGTCCACATCGTACAAACGGAAGGCCCCTGCGATATGTTGAACAGAAGACATTATCAATACTCATAAAAATAACCACATAAATAAACTGAGATTACAGCTTAATAAGAAAGGAAGCAAACTTCGGCAAGACGAAGTTTATATACCCTTGCAGTTATTACAAAACGACTACATTTCGAATTCTATTCCTATATTAATAAAAACAATAAAGATGTGTAGATTTTGTGTTGCATTTTGCGTTCGTTTCTATGGCAGATATATGATATTGTTGTCCAATTTTGACAAAACTAAAAACGAAATTCTGATACAGGATATAATTACTATATCTCACGGGAATATTTTGATAAACAGAAAAACAGCAAAGTAAAATATTTTTTAACTTATAACTCCCATAACTGGCAGTATGAAAAAAACTTTATAAAATTCTTTATATTCAAAAGCTTAGAGTTTGTGTAACAAAAGTTTTGTGTCTATAACTGATTTTCTTTCGATGGAGCTAAGACCTTCAGTTTATAAGAACTTTCTTTATATAAACTCATAGTTCTATCACCGAGAAGTGCTAATAGTTCTGCGTCATTCAGTAATAATTAACTTACAGTGCAGCTTCTCGTCCAGATTGCCGCGTGATGTTATTGACAGGGCCCGAATGAACTCCTCGAACTCAATGGCGCCATCCTACAAATAAGGATATAGAAATAGTTATGGCATACATTGTTAGTCAAATCTTTCATAAACATGGGGTGCCACTTAATAGGAGTTTTAAATTTCAGTCAAAAGGTTTCTAAAAGTATGCAGTGAAATCGAGAAGGTTGTTCCTCAAATTTTTTTTTTTCTTTTTTTTGTTTTTAATAATAAATCCGTTTAAATAGTATAATATCTATTATCTTTGTATATATGTCCTCATACGTCCGGTTATGTTCAAATGGCATTGAGCAATTCCGGCAAAAATAAATAAAAAAAAAAAAAAAAGAATGTGGCGTTAGCAAGATAGATAATTCCTGACATAAACTTACTATTTATAATGCCCTCCTTAGTAAATTACTTTCAGATAAAAAGCCCTGGCAAATGGCTTAAATTATTGTTATTAAAAATGCAAGACGTTTTAAAAAAAAATCATAATAAATCCATTTCAAAGTAAATTGTAGCATACTTTTAGAAAACCCATCAGTTATTTGAAAACACTGGTGATTTGTGAAGCATCCCCTGCATTTGAAAAAGCATACAACAAATCCAAGTGCTTTGGAACTATTTCAAAATGCTGCACAACAAAGGACGATAAATACAAAATTTGCAGTCCAGCACTAAGTACCCCCTCCCCCTCATGTCCTTAGCATACTCACATTATTCTCATCGAAGACACGAAATACCAAGGAGGCAAATTTGCTGGGGTCTCCGTCGGGGAAGAATTGCTTATAGATTTTGATGAAGCCCTGCGGGTAGAGAGAGAGCGAGAGGGCACGAGAAACAGATATAGAGAGGGGGGGGAGAGAGAGAGGGAGAAGGGAGATGGCAAGGAAAAGCGGTTAGACAAGTTAATGTTTGCTATTGCTATTGCTATTCAGTGGAGTTGAGTAAGCAAGTCAGAACTAGACACATAAAATAGCATTAAAGTGAAAATTTCGAAATTCTCCAGTTAAGTGAAATAAACGACTCTCACGGATGGGTGGATGGTATTTTGGTGACGATAAGGTATGCGTTCGTATATGGATTGTAAGTGTATGTAAGTGTAAACCCCACAAACGTGAATTTATGGGCATGGCTACTCCTCCTTTGGCATGAGAATGCAGTTTATTTGCTGGCACTGCAGCTGTGAATCGAAATACTTGAAAATGTCAAATCAATGAATGGATTACCCCGCCTCCGGCGACCGGACACATGTACGTATGGTACAACTTGCATTTATTTTATTCATGCCACAAAAGTCAGCCACAAAAAAAGGCAGTGAACGTTCGGAAAAAGGACAAACCGCATTTCAGGATCTCGGGGCGGAGTGTGGCTTAAATATAAATGTGTGTAAAATATATATGCAGTTTGCCGGGAATGACCCGAAATAAGAGGATTCCGTTTGTGGTCGGTTATGATGAAAGCCAGGGTAATGATGATGATGATGGCGATGATGGTGCGGGGATAAAACATGAGGGGTACTCACTTGTTCGGTCAGCAAGCCATTCGGACAGTCTTTGAGAAAGCCCTTGTGCCTTCGGTGTGTCAGAGGTCAGAGGTCGGGATAGCGGATAGCATAGCGCACAGAGTTCACAGGAAGAGACAGCGGGTGTACAGAGAGAGAGAGACGGGGAGAGATAAATAGATTAGCATAGGGGAAAGAGAGCCAGAGAGTGGACAGAGAAGTAACCAGAAATAATATGGATCAAAAATTAAATTAAAAACCAATAATTGTGGGTGCACGCACACAGACAACAAATGGAACATAAATATTGACCCGGGAAAATGTTTACCTCCGGGGAAAACTCGCACGCACACGCACACGCATGACCACGCTTTTGCATTTTAAATTCTATTTACATTTTATTCCGCACTGCCATTAATTTCAACTTTTCCCTCTGCGACCGCAGTCAGCAAGATCAATTTTGCTGCAATTCCACCCATTAATTATAGCCACACAAACGCATTGGAAAATGAAACATTTAAGTCGGCGCGCTATCGAATTGAAAAAGAAAATGAAATTGCTGGGACACAAAGTGAAGAAATCACACAAAACGAACGGGGCGTTTTTTTTTTTTTTTTTTGGGGGGGCTGAGGGGGTTTGAAATCCATGAAAATGCTTACCATTGACGAATTTCCTTCTCGGTGACTGCAAAGAGAGTTAAAGGGAGAATTTTCAGATTAGTTGAGCAATTGCAGACGGGAACAATGAAGCGACGGGCTAAGCGGCCGCACTTAGTTGCGCCTCAAGGGTCCCGAGGCTATCATTCTTAATATCAACATCAACCCAACACCCCGCTATCAATCCGCCATCCGATGCCATCCCCATTCCCCATTCCCCATTCCCCTCACCCTCCCATCATCCAGCACTCAAGTGCCTTTGCTGAGCCGCTGAGTTATGGCGGCTTAAGTTGGTCTAAGGCTAGGCTACCCTTGGAGATTGATGGCGCTCACTTGACAGGCTTAGCGGACAAGCCCTCTTGCCCCTCAATGCCCCTCAATGGCCAAGCCTCAATACCCCATCCACCCATCTCGTATCTTTTGCTGATGCTGCTCATACTCGCGCCACGCTGCGTATGAGTAATATGCAAACGCAATTTACGACCAGGCATCGCGAAGTGCATCAGCCACGGCTAGTGCACAACTCATTTAATAAATCATTTAATTAATTACAGCATTTCAGGGCCACCTTTACGAGACGGGTAATGTTACGTAGAGCTATGCGGTAATATCTCAAATGGCTTTAAGCCAGAGAAAACTATTTGGTATTCTAAAATGACTTGAAATCATTTAAAGGGTTTACCCATTTGATATGTTTCCTAAAATATCAATACTTCTACCGAAACATTTAACGCTTTTATACGCTAAACCTTACTGTCACTCAGAAAAACAAAACAATAAACTTATAATTCTAAAAAATTGTTGTTTATTTCTTACTCATGTATACATTTATGTCTTATGTATATCTAGATTAGGATCAATTTGAAAAGGAACAAAGAATCAAAGGACCAACACATAACTGTTTATTTGTGAACTAATGTATATTTGGTGTTTTTATTATCCAGATTATTCAGAATTGATTTTCAAATTTAAAGGGCTACTTTTTCATCGTTTGTTATTGTACGCCCTGCAATTACAGTACACCTTTTAAGCGCGTGTATAGGCCACAGGGTGAAAAGCACTTTCAAAATGAAAAACAAAACGGGACAAAGCTGCTGATGATGATGAAGATGTACATGGTCGATGATTAAAAGGGGCTGGGCTGAGCCCACCGAGAGGTAGACCATTTTTCCAACGCCCGGAAATGGGCACGCGTTGGGCGCCAAATTCAGCATAAGCTGCTGCACGCAATCGAAATTGGCCGACACATAGCACATACCACATAAACATATATGCGTGCGTATCTGAATAACCCACAGATTGCCCTGCAGGCTTGTTAAAAGTCTGCGCACGCCAACGCGTCGGCTAAGTAAGCTCCAAGGAGCGTTATCCTTGTCGACCGACGACTTTTACTGCGGCAACATGAATAATACATATCGCTGGCTGATGGCTGATGGCTCATGGCTGATGGTGCTGCTGTTTGTGAAGCGCCGGCAGCTGTGAAGCAAATTAGTACATAGTACCAGGGACTGGCAAAAATTATTTCGATTTAAATGTTTATTTGCACAAGGCGGCGAACCTTTTTTCTTCATCAAGCTGTTTGTGGCCCGCAGCGTATATTCAATTTCATTTTTTTCTTTCAGCCGCACAAAATGAACGAAAAATGCCGCCAGTTTAGCCTTTTTGTATTTACTTAATTTCATTATACCCTTGCAGAGGGTATTATAATTTTGGTCAAAAGTGTGCAACGCAGTGAAGGAGACATCTCCGACCCTATAAAGTATATATATTCTTGATCAGGATCACCTCCTGAGTTGATATAGCCATGTCCGTCTGTCCGTCTGTCCGTCTGTCCGTCTGTCCGTCTGTCCGTCTGTCCGTCTGTCCGTCTGTCTGTCCGTCTGTCTGTTTCTACGCGAACTAGTCTCTCAGTTTTAAAGATATCGAATTGAAACTTTGCACACACCCTTCTTTCCTTTGCACGCAGTATATAAGTCGGAACGGCCGGGATCGGCCGACTATATCCTATAGCTGCCATATAACTGATTGATCGGAAATGCCATAACTCTGCTGTTTGTTAGGTTAGGAAGTTGGGACTTTCTATGGGTTTTATATTTGGCCAATCAATCCGACGTACCAAATTTCATAAGGATCGGCCGACTATATCTTATAGCTGCCATATAACTGATTGATCGGAAATGCCATAACTTTGGTGTTTGTAAAGTTAGGAAGTTGGGACTTTCTATGGGTTTTAAATTTGGCCAATCAATCCGACCTACCAAATTTCATAAGGATCGGCCGACTATATCCTATAGCTGCCATATAACTGATTAATCCGAAATGCCATAACTTTGGTGTTTGTAAAGTTAGGAAGTTGGGATTTTCTATGGGTTGTATTTTTGGCCAATCAATCCGACGTTCCCAATTTCATATGGATCGGTCGACTATATCCTATAGCTGCGATATAACTGAACGATCAGAAATGCCATAACTTTGGTGTTTTTAAAGTTAGGAAGTTGGGATTTTTTATGGGTTCTATATTTGGCCAATCAATCTGACCTACCAAATTTTAAAAGGATCGGTCGACTATATTCTATAGCTGCCATATAACTGAACGATCGGAAATGCCATAACATTGGTGTTTTTTTTATTTTTAAAGTTAGGATATTGGGATTTTTTATGGGTTTTATATTTGGCCAATCAATCTGACCTACCAAATTTCATAAGGATCGGACGACTATATTCTATAGCTGCCATTTAACTGAACGATCGGAAATGCCATAACATTGGTGTTTTTAAAGTTAGGAAATTGGGATTTTGTATTGGTTTTTTATTTGGTCAATCTATCAGACATACCAAATTTCATAAGGATCTTTGGTGTGTTTTTCAGATTTTATTTTAAACCTAATTTAGAATTGTTATTGAGCACTGGTACATATAAGAAAATTTGTACTTAGTCATAGAATATGTCATAGAATATAAAATCAATCAATAAAATTCAACCCCCTCGAACTTTTCCTTAATGGTAATGCCAACTTTTGAGAAATAGATTTATTAAATATTATTTTGAATCTATCGCCGATACATTTTTATACCCTTGCAGAGGGTATTATAATTTTGGTCAAAAGTGTGCAACGCAGTGAAGGAGACATCTCCGACCCTATAAAGTATATATATTCTTGATCAGGATCACCTCCTGAGTTGATATAGCCATGTCCGTCTGTCCGTCTGTCTGTCCGTCTGTCTGTCCGTCTGTCTGTCCGTCTGTCTGTCCGTCTGTCTGTCCGTCTGTCTGTCCGTCTGTCTGTCCGTCTGTCTGTCCGTCTGTCTGTCCGTCTGTCTGTCCGTCTGTCTGTCCGTCTGTCTGTCCGTCTGTCTGTTTCTACGCGAACTAGTCTCTCAGTTTTAAAGATATCGAATTGAAACTTTGCAGACACCCTTCTTTCCTTTGCACGCAGTATATAAGTCGGAACGGCCGGGATCGGCCGACTATATCCTATAGCTGCCATATAACTGATTGATCGGAAATGCCATAACTCTGCTGTTTGTTAAGTTAGGAAGTTGGGATTTTCTATGGGTTTTATATTTGGCCAATCAATCCGACCTACCAAATTTCATAAGGATCGGTCGACTATATCTTATAGCTGCCATATAACTGATTGATCGGAAATGCCATAACTTAAGTGTTTGTTAAGTTAGGAAGTTGGAATTTTCTATGGGTTTTATTTTTTGCCCAATCAATCCGACATATCAAATTTCATAAGGATCGGCCGACTATATTCTATAGCTGCCATATACATAACTGAACGATTGGAAATGCCATAACTTTGGTGTTTTTAGAGTTAGGAAGTTGGGATTTTTTATGAGTATAAAGAATGCATCATATGAATAATTTTGGAGAATATAATTTGCAGAATATTCTGCAAGGGTATTTCAACTTCGGCTCCGCCCGAAGTTAGCTTTCCTTTCTTGTTTTAAACTGATTTAATTTCAACTTTTCACACACACACACACTCGGGGAAAGGGGGCGGCGGTGGTGACACAGCAAGGACCTCCCGCTGGGTGTGGCCACATGCTAATTAATGAATGGCTGTCCCCTTTCCATTCAGCCGCCCTTTTGGAAGGGTGGAAAAGCGGGAAGAGAAAAGCGGGAAGAGAAAAGCGAACTTTAAATGAGCTGCGAGCTGTGAGCTGCATGCGGGCCACATACATTCGAACACACAGGAAAAAGCACAGGCACTGTGCGTGTTTTTTGGCCACCAACTCGGCAACCTTGCAGCCAGCTCTCCGCAAGGATGTGCGTCGTCGTCCCGGCCCGGTTCAAATATTTACCAAACTTGATTAGATCCCAGCGATTGCGAGGCGGGGCAACAAGTGACCTCGCAGTGCTCGCAGGTCCCGGCTTAACCCTGAGCGCAGCCACATCGCATGTCTGCGGTTAACCCCTTGGTGGCCTTGCACGCAACTGAAACGCAACTGGCCCACCTGGGAGGGGGTCGAGCTTCCCCCTTCCCTCCCCCCTCGTTCGGCACTCATACACAGACACAGACACAGACCCTGGCAACCGGAGGAGCAACTACAGCAGACGCTGATTCTATCTGAAATTGGTTCTCGGTATGCGACCGAGATGCCGGTGCATTCACCCACTAATTAATCATGATCATATCTAAAACTAATTTTGTAAATATATGCAGACGCCTCACAGCGCCAAACTGTCGCCCAATTAATCCGATGGAAATAATTTATAAGCTAGTAGTCTAAAATGTAATAATGGTAGAGTGGTAGAGATATAACTACGGTTTTGAAATCACTTTTAAATTAAGTCATTTATATTTGCTACGTACTCTAAAAATCATTTTAAAATAGTTATTTCTGTGACACCCCCATAATTATATTGTTAAGTGAATCCCAACACATTAACCCTCACCTTATGTTAATTTATTATATAGGACTTAGTCCTCTTATTTGAAAGTGTACTGATTTTTAAACAATAAGTTAGATCCACCAGGCTCATGAAAGTACTAAGTTAATTAACAGTGGAAAATGCAC